TTATGTCTTATCAAGAAAAAGGGATAATCTATTCTTAATCAAAAAAGAACAAAGCTTTGATATTGAATGTCTACTCTTGTGAATCTATCAAAGACACAAACTAAAAGAAGATACATATACTTGTAGAATTTGTGTGTTATAGATACAAACTCGAAGAAGATACATAAACTCATGGAATATTTGTCAAAAAAAAAGTGACAAAATAGAAGAAAGTATGTATATTCAAGGAAGAACTGGAATGACTATTGCCAAAGACTAAAAAACATAAGACTCTTGAAACTAGATTAAAAGTAGAAAAGGAATGGAAAAGAGTGAAGAAGGCCTCAATCTTGCCTCTATATATATTACTTAACTAAAAACTATGTAGAAACATGCTATAGGATCTCTAATATGCATCCAATTTGTAGGACACATATTTAATTTAGAGGGCAAGTTTCTTAGGTATGTATCATATGTCCAACTTATACCACAAGTGCTCAACATGTTGACACGTGGCCTCTTTGTTGGCCAAGTTTTCAACCTACCAATCACCTATATACATGTATAAAAACAAAGCAACATCTATGAAGCTTCTAGGAAGCTTTTCACAAAATATTGTTATATTTATCTACTTTGATTTACTTGTACCTATTCTTATTATCTAGATAATTATCAAGATAAATATGTATGTCTATGACAAATATCATGATATCTTAAAAAAAAATTGATTGTATTTTTGACTTAACAAAACAACTACATTCTAAGTCTTGTAATCATAACTCTTATAGATACTAAGTTCTAACCCATCAAAGTTGTTGCCCTTAACTTACAAACTTATTAAACCTCCTTTGATTTAATACTTTGTTTCTTCTTGACTTGATTAATTTTTTTCCTTAAAACTTTTACATATGTGAATATATTTATTTTAAATATTATTTTGAAAGCTTATTCTAATCAAATATTCTATTCAATTATAATAGACTTCTATTTAAGATTCAAAATTTGCTCTCTTTATTAATCAAAATAAAAGATTCAACAACCATTGTATTTGTGCATCTCTTCACTCTCTTGAGTCACTTTGAAATCTCAAAAATATTACCAATATGTTTCTAAGATGTCTCCAAATATATTTAGTTGTATCCAAGATAAATCCTAGTTGTTTCTAAAATTACTTCTAATTGTCTCTTAGATAATTCTTAGTTGTTTCCAAAATGAAAAGCCACCATATACAATCTATCCTATTTTTATTTTTATCTTCACTACCAAACATTCTTGGTTATCAATCTAGTGGCCACTCGTCTATTAACACAAATAAGTACATGAAGTAAAACAAATCTATTCTAACATCAATTTGATTTTATACTTAAGATAGAAAAAATACATATAAATCCCTATTATTTAACTAATAAGCCACCTATATTATGGCAATGGACTATCTACCTTTAAATTACCATTATTTGTTATCTAATATTGATTCTTTTCTTAAAGAGAGTGGACTACTTTTTTTTGTAGAAATTTTATTTGATATTAGAAAATACAGATTATGCTCTTTTAATTTGACTTTTGGATTTATTAAATTTGATTATTATAACAAAAGAACAAAAAAAATATGAATGATATACTTAGTAGAAGTAAGAATAAATTTACAGCTTTTACAAATCTTCACAAATTTGTCAATACTTTTAAGGTAGAAATTTCATGTATTACCAATATCAACCATAGAAGTATTATTTATATATCAATGGAAGAAATCAACAATAAGATCGAATGTCTATACCAAAAAATTGAACATTTGATAGAAACAAGTAGATCAATTTTACAAAAGAATCTAAAAATCTTTGCTACTATAAATATGAAAGAGACAAAGAATAGTATTCTAAAGAAGTTTGAGGGAACAAAATCAATAGTTTGAGAATTTCTACAATAAGTTGAGTTCTATGTAAGGTTACATCATTTTCAATATTTTAATGGATTTACATAAGTTAGATTTATAAGCACACTTCTATTTAGAATTTTTCTTTTTTTTATTGCATCTTTGAAGAAAAAATATTTGCAATTTCTATATGACCTAGATTTATTCTTAGAAGTGTTTATAATTACATTTAAAAAAAATTATTAAAAAAAGATAGTAGACACAAAATTCTTATCTTTAAGATAAGAATCACAATTAGCTATTATATATGCTACCAAATTTCAAAGCTTAGGTTACAATGTAGATTAGAATAATAAAACTCTTATCAATCAATTTTGATATGGATTAAAAGATAATGTCAAAGTTTTATTATTGACAATATTAAAAGCAATTTCATTAGAAAATTTTATTGCTTTAGCTATTGCATACAACAATTGAGTTTTTGAAAAATGTCATGAATAAAGATATGGTTAGATGGGAGCAAATTAAGTTCCAAAACAAAATCTTAAATATTTAGAAAGTTATTTATCAAAGCTTGAACATATACAAATTGACACAATACATTTTAAATCTCTCATTAAATAAAAAAAAGATTCATCAATAGCCAAAAAGTTTATTCTTATATTATAGAGAACTTAAGTACATTACTCAACATTCTCTAAAGAAAAGATGCTATTATTAAATGAATAACATGATTGTTAAAAAAAAAAGATGTATTGAAAAATAAGTTTCTTCAACTATAGTAGAGATTGTGTTATTGGAATCCTATACCATACTTAATAAAGGTCATTTTTTTATTTTTTTTAAATCCTCACTTTGTTTTATAATAGATATTTATTTAGGACCTAAAATTCACAAAGTTTCTACCTTATCAGATTTAAAAGCTTCAACTTGTTTTCTTAAATAAAGTCTTTGTTTGAAAAAATAAAATATCATTAATAAAAAAAAACTAAACTGATGCATATAGAAATCATAGATAGTCGCCTTTTGTCTTCTAAAAATGTTATCTATGAAATTATTCATGTGGAAGTAGCAATAAATAGTTATAATAGCTTACTAATAAACAGTGTTATTAAATCTCTCTCTAACTTAGTGATTTTAGATTTATTGTCGCTGAGAAAGTATAATCCTTGAATAGATTGGATTTCTTGTAATCTTGATTTTTTCCATAACATAACTAAGACTATTTCTAATTAAGTAGAAAGTCATAAGTTTAGTACAAACAAAACTTACCTGCAGATGTAAGAACTTTTATGCATTCTAAAAAAATATATATATATATTTGTTTTTATTTATGCCATACTCATTTTTAATGAAGAAAAGACTTTAAGAAATTTTCCAAGTTAATATCAAAATTATCAAGATATTTTTTAGAAGAAAAATGCAGATATTCTTTTAGTGCATCACCCTTGTGATAGCTCAATTGATCTTTAAGAAAGAATTTAACCACCATTCAAACCAAATCTAGAGCTTATTACAAAACAAGTTATCTTCTCTCAAAGAGTTTATTGATGTGAATTTGGTCAAAAATTATCTAGATATAAACATATTCTTAATATTTTTAAATATGTTATTTGTAAAATTATCTAAATATGTCTTGTATATGATCTAAATTATCTTCATTGTTTATTTGCAACCTTGTTAAAAAGAATGATTTCTTTTTCATACTAAATAGTTGATTTCTTTTGCATCTTTTATACTTCTATTAAAGAAAAAATTACATAAATTTTATTATTTAAATATTTTATATAAGATTAAAATATAATATAAATATCATTAAAAAATTTAGATATTTATGCAAATATTATAATTGTGGAATTTATTTTTTAGTAGTTCATATTATATAAATCTATATAATATAATATAATATAATAATGTTATATATAAAAACATTATTTCAAAAATATTACCAAATAATATGGGTGCAACTCTTATATCTAATATTAAAGATTTTTTTTTAAATACAAAATACATATTATAGTATCAACTTGCAAAATTAACGTTGTATACTTATATTATACAGATTCATGTAACTTGAGCTACTAAAAATTATATTTTGTATTCTCATAATGTAGATTTCTATTTTGGATGATATACTTAATATTAGATAATGGAGTAGGAAAATATACACTTTTTTAATTTTATTCTTAAAAACAATACATTCACCTCATCTCTCAATGTTGTTGCAAATACTTCAATTGAAAATAATAAATTAAGCACTATACTTAAAAATACAACATGACTTAAACATTAGCCAAATCTAGAAAATAAAGATAAAAGATGTCATTTCTTCTACCTTCTTCAAAAAGTTATGTCTTTTAAAGATTTTTGAATAAAAATAATATTCTATTAATGGATCTTAAAAATAAAAATAAATAAATAAACTTAGATGCTAATACAAGTCCTTGTAATTAAAGCAATCTATGCACCTAATAATATGAATAGTTGAATATATATGTATATGTATATATATATATATATATATATATATTATAGGTTTTAGATTTAAATCTTTGATTTCCATCTTGTCCTTTTGAATTGCCAATTTATTGACAAAGAAGTACTAGGTTTATAGCTAGAAATGTTTCTAAGTAGTTTAGAGAGAAAAATTGAGGTTTGTAAAAGAGTGATATGAGCCTAATCTTGCAAAGCTTTTCCCTTCTACAATTTAATTGCATCTTTACATTTCTCTATTGAAAGAAGAAAGAAAAGGATTTTTGTCTTTTCCATACAAACTAGATTATCCAAAAATATTTACATAAATAAAACCCTAGCTTGTTGAATGTTATTTTAGAGGTTTATTCTCCAACATTTATCCCTTAAAGTCGTAACACTTTAGTGTATCAATCATTTCAATACTCAGTATTACATAAAAGAAGTTAAGGTTCTTTGTAGGTTACACAAAAGAAACGTTACTGAATCTCTCATAGGAATTAAATTAAAAAGTTAGAGTATTCGAATTTGTTCAGCACGCAAAGTTGAATATTCTCTTCATTTTAGGGGTTGTAGTTCCAGGTTTAGACAGCATTGTATGTAAGGTCTTCACATGATGCCATTGTGAATGTGCAAATACATCTTGTAACAAAGACCTCATCTGCGCATTTACAGGTCTCTTCAACATATTCTTAATATTGATAGGGTTATGCTGTTTGCATTACTCCTCAAGTTAAAAACCAAGGGATTTATTCACAAGAAAAAAACTCAAACCGAACAACCAATTCTACTGGGAAGTCACAACAGGAGATACAAACCTCACCAAAAGGGATTTACAAGAATACAACAGAAACTTCATCAATGTACAAAACCTTCAGCCTTATGGTACAGATTGATGAGATCCAGAAATGAGTGAAGATACGAGAAGTTTGCAGTGGGCTCGACTAATGCGAAGTCTAGAATTGAGGGGTGTATCCGTTGTTGGCGGTGGCCAAGATGAAGAAACCGATGGCGTGACCCAAGGCTCCCCAGGCGAGGACGTCCACGAGGGTGAATCCTGCAGGGTCGTTGGTCTTCAGCATGCCGACGACCTCCTGAGCACGGGTGTCGCCTGCGTCGTAGTGGGTCACTCCATTCTGCTCTGGTAAGCCCTGCCTCGACACCTAAAATCCAATGGCAGAAAAATGTCATTAGTCAAAGTTCATACGAAAAAACCAAAGATCTGAGACGTTTCATGCCATAGATCACTCACGGAAGCAATCAACTGTACGGGTCTCAGGGCACCCGACACATGTTATAGGTCTGATGACATCATTGGTGGCAAAAGACACCGAGCATACGAGCATGCTGCGTGTTACAACGATCAAGGTACAGTACAGTCGCGGCAGTCACTGGAAGAATTCAAGAGAGATGACAGCCAAAAAATAGCGGAGATGGTTTGATGGGTTTTCATGGGTATGTAAAGCGGAGCAGCAAACAGACGTGAATGAGGAGTATCCTAACCCAAAGATAACTGCATGGATATAAGACCACCTACAGACCATGATTTTTATTAGCCAACACACACAGGCACTCATGAAGGAGAAAAAAGCATCGGGTTGCATGTATAACGAGGGTGATGTGACGCACATTATCTCTCTGGAAGGGGAGGAAGACGAAGCGGCCGAGGAACAGCAGGGCGCCGGTGCTCAAAGTGATCGTCAAGGCGGTGTTCGCCTCGCAGGTGACCCTTCCAGACGACTTGCAGATAGCAGTCTGGCTCGCAAACGAGTTGCTCCTCATGGCAACGGAATCCAATTTGGTTACACGCCTCAGGCCACCGAAGCTCACGAGGGGGGAAGCGGAGGCCTGCACGGCGTTGCTCCTCTTGAGGAAGAGGCTGGATCCAGCCACTCCTGCCATGGTTGCAGCGCAGGACGCCATTTCCTTAAGAAAATTAGACACAAATGAAGTGAAAAGCAGAAGCAATTTCAAATCGAAATCGGAGACGGGGTGGTGGAGTAGTGTAGCAGACAGGGGGGGGGGGGGTGTTGATGGGTGGAAGGGGTGGCCCGCGCCTTCGCCCGTGGACAACTGGAGCCAAAGCGGCCAATGGAGCTGGCCCTCTTATCCGCAGGAATTAGATAGAGGACTGCCTCCCCATCGCCGTAATATTGCCCATCGCCGTGGATTGGATCTGAAACTCCACAGTCATGCCGTGTGATCCGTGCCCGCGGTGACACTACTCTCCCCCTTCAGTATTGTGCATCCGTGTATGTGTACAAAATTAATTGCAGGGGAAAATATGTTATGAAATAAAAAATTGTCATGCCCATTAAAGTTTTTTTTAGTGAAATATTCAATAATTTTTTTAATTTAATAATAATAATAATAATAATAGTAATAATAATTTATTTCTTTTATGGTTAATTTTGTTATTAATTTGCAGGAGACTGTGTTATTTAGTATAAAGTTTTTACAAATTTATAATTATATATATATATATATATAATAAAAAATTTGTATATTTCTTTAGAACTACAATAAATAGATAAAAATCCAATAAACAGTTATAATGCAAAAAATTGTATATTTTTTTAGGCAATTTACTATAATTGAAAACATGTGATTTCAAGATATAACTAATACTTTATAAAAGTGTGCATTTTTGAGTGTATACTAGAAAAGTAAACATATTTTGTGACAAATGTTAAATCCTATTGATTTTACTATTAAATCAAGCTCAACTTCTATCAAATAATCTGATGAAACTTCGAACTTGTTTTGAAAGAAAAGTTAGCACAAAACCGTGTTTGTGAGAAAGCCAATGCTTCATCAAACAGTATTCTTCATGATCAAAACAACGAAAAAATCTCTTATAGCATTAAAAGAATGATAATTCCTTGTATCACAAATATTAGCTATTGTATTCAAAAGAATCATATATTATTTAGTCCAACCATGAGAATTTTATGCTTTTACTTTTTATTTAAATTTATACACTATGTAGGATATATATATATATATATATATATATATATAGTTTACAAATTTTAGCTGTAAATTTAGGTAATTAATTTTTTAATTGGTTTATATCTTGACATTACAATTTGAATGCCTATTATATTCAATATATTCTATATGTTAGTTACAATGATTGTATTCAAGACATTTAAAAATACTTGTTCATGTGTTATTCATTTGAATTATTAAATAGATAATATATAGAGGGAGAGATTTGCAAGACAAACCTTTAAATCTTAAGACTTGGGAATATGTGATAATGCTTGACATGTAGCTATGCAATATAAGAGTTTGAATACTAAAGAAGCAAACCCAATAATCTTTTTGTGAAACCAAGCATCACATATTAATATCTAACAAATGTGTTTCAGACAGTCATGGTTTTATTGTGGATTTGTTACTGACTTGTTTTCAACATCCATGTCAGTGAATTAGCTTAGAGTTTATACAATATATCAATATGGATTGTGTTATGAAATCAATAAGAAAAGATATACTTACATACAGATAAATATCAGAAAAATATCAAATTAAGCAGTAATCACGTGAAAAATTAGATTAGAATCTGATTGTGACTCCCATCCTTGGATCTTCTCTGGGTTGTTAGCATGCATCTAGATAATTGTCAATCCCCTTCCTTCTTCACTCTAGCCAGTAACTGGTTTCAATCAAATGTATTTAATTTTTCAATTTGTCTTCCACAATTGATATATAGACTGCTGAGTTAATTTACATTTCCAAGTACTTTGATCACATATCTTTTCACATAAACAATCTACTGGGCAATTCCATTTCCATTTAAACTGAGATAAAAACTTCTAGGCAAAGGCTCATAAATTTGTGATACACTTAAGTAGCATAATGAAGACTCAAACTACCTAGAGAGTATGTGTATTCACACACACACGCACATATATATATATATGTATATATATATATATATAATCAAGCAAAAATATCCTAATTACTAAGAAATTAACTTGATTAAATAAATTTTCCCTTCTCAACAAACTTGGGATTCTCATTTATGTGCAGGATTGTTACAGAAGATAAAGAATAAACACCATTTGCTAATCAAAAACTTCCCATATGTGAATAATTGTCAATTTGCATCTCTTGAAATATCATATTACTTCAAATAAAACATTTTATTTTTTATCATTTTATTGTGTTATTGTTTATTGTTTATTTTTTTTTTTCATATTCAAGACACTGAAATTTGAAATAAAGTTACAGAGCAATTATTCTTCTTGCAACAAGAGTGAAGGTCCAATTCATGAGTCATCATCATCAACAAATAACAACAATCATCAAATCAGCAAATCATCATCAATCAAACAACAGCAAGTAAAGACCCTGATTTAATTTTTAAAATCAAAGCCAGTTGGAAACGTTCTTTTGGATGCGTTGAATGTCACTCAACTTCACACTCCAACTTGCACCTCTCCGTGCTGATTGTGTTCAAGCGGTTTCTCGTTGCAGGCATTGAAGTGCACTTTGGGTCGGGCATTTTTGGCACATCTAAGACCACCCACAGTGGTGGAAAAGTCTTTTGAAGAAGGTGGTTGGCATAGAGTTATGGGTTGGTTCGTCACTCCAATTGATTAGTATCTCAAGCTGTATGAGCACACTGTCGACGATGGGCATCTTCCTGCTTCCATCTCTTGAGAACAAATTCGGTCAAATGCAATTTCGGAGTGCTAGCCTGCATCTACTGGCATTTGTTTTCGTCGTGGCTGACCACATATTACACTTCCGGCTTGAGGACTAGAAGCAACAGAGCATAGTAGATTGTGGTAAATCACAAACTCCCGTTTCTACAGAATAAGTTGGAAAATTAGAAAAGAATTCCGAAATAAGTGCACCGCTTCTCCGTAAAACAGATCAGGATGTGGCCTAACCATATTATTCGTACAGTACTAACCGATGCTGGTGCATTTTAAAATATATTATTTATTGGTGGCAATCCATTGTGCATAGTTTTTGCACATGATTTGCAATGTTGTGTGGTGTGTGCAGAAGTACTGGTCCTGTGGGGTCTGTTTTTTGCATGATGTATGTGTCTGTTAGATTCTTCCTTAAGACACTGTGTGAGCAAACATTGTGATTGTCGATGGATTGAAATGTGTCCAAAACGGTGGATTCTCATGCTACCAATCATGCACTCTTTGTTCACAATATCATTATATGTGCTAGAACATTGTCATCTTGCACATGAATTGTTTGCATCTCACAATTATATACACTGTGATGTAAACATTTTGTATAGATTTCAATGGAAGTTGGAGGTTAATACTTTCTAAACTTGTAGTGTAATAGTGAAGATATTTATTTGTTTTGAAATTGTGGTGTTAGAATTGAGGTAGTAATTATTAAATATTAAATTTTAAATTATATAGTGTAACATTACAGTAAATAACTTTATACATTTTAAAAATAAATGTGTAATTGATTTCCATAGCATGCTATATATATATATACTCACACTTACATATTTATTGTTTAATTTATTAAAAATTGAGTTCATATGTTTTGTATTGATATAAACAAACATGTCAAAAAAAAAAAAAAAAAAAAAAAAAAAAAACACTTTAGTCATAAAAAGACTTAACACAAATATAGTTAAATAATAAAAAGAAAAAAAACACCAACAACAAGTGGTGTGTTGATAATTTAGAAAGATAGCGTAAATACCATCAAGTGTTGTACCCCAATCAATAAATATTCTTCTTAAAATCATGCTTCCAAAACACATATTGCTCTAAGAGAGAGTCGCTGTAGACAAACACAAAGAACTTCGATGCTTGTGTCAAACAAGTGAATTTATCTAAAATCCAATAACTAGTTTGATTGTAATAACTTCCTAAAGAATTGTCAGGTCAACCCACTTCCCCTAAATTTTGCACACACTACCTTCACACAAAAAACTTGTTTAAACCAACTCACAATTTCAACTCACAAATTCCAATCAGTATGAGTGATAACACAACAAACCAATAGCAGAAGAATCATTTCTCCTCCAAGTTGACTTAGACTGCTTAAAACGATACAGGATATCAATGATCCACATTTTGTGATACAATTAATGTGATTCTTGCCTCACAAGTGTGCTCACCAAAAAAATCATGAAACACAGGCATACAATCACAGTTTTTATACATATATATATACATATATATATATATTCACACATACACTAGCAACCTCCATCCCTGAGAATGTTGGCTCTGTCACATTCTACTGTTCAGCGACCCCGAAGAGAAGGAACAGGATTGAAATAAATCGGAGGACAAGACGAAGCGCCACCGGCACCGCGAGAAACGGGGCGAGATGGCCCCGAAGCAGATCTTTCCTCCCGAACTGTTGGATTGCTTTCCCGGAGCATCGCCACTCCTCCGGAACTGGATTCCAGCTCCTCCAAGGGTTCCCCTTGTCATAGCATCTTCATCGTCTGATTCCACCCATCTATCGTACCACCCATCGCTCCTACGTCCTCCCGCAAGGTGTGAGAATCATCACTCCTTTTTGTTTCTCCCTCTCATCTCGATCCGATTGGTAGCTGTTGATGAGAGCCGTTCCTGAGAGTTGTGATACGATTGTGAGGTTTTCATGGGTTGTCGTTTTGAATTGGAGTTTTCGGGAAGTTTTGGGTTTGGGCTAGAATTGAGGATCGAGAGTGTTTTGTCTTTTGGGGTTTAGGGGTCGTGACCAGGGCATTCTGTTTCTATGGCAGACTATCAGCCTCACTCCTCGTTGGCCATGAGGAGACCGCAGAGGCCATATTCGGATGAGGAGGCCACGCGAACTCGCACCATTCGGGCCGACTTAGAGCCCGCGCCTCAGCCGTGGCCCGGCCTGACGTATGTCGCGCTCTTTTTGCTGTGCGGGTTCGTGGCGCTGCAAATGTACCCTTCTACGCATTGGCGGCACCCTCAAGACAGAACAAAGACATGGATCCCGCATGATAGGACCGAGACCGACCAAGCCTCTAGCACCGATCCCTTCTACAGCAGCCTGAGTGAAGAGCAAGGACAGCAGGCACAGGACTTAGCCTCGCAGGGGACTGTTTCCAATCTTTCCAATGTAAGGTTCCATTACCTGAGGGCTGTATCATGAATCTTTCATTTGCAGTGAACTTGACTGTACTTATTTTGCAAGTATTGAAGCTCCCCGATGTGGTGCCTAGCTTTTTTGATACTTGTCCTCTATGCTTGATAATTTGTTGGCTATGTGGCTATCGCACCCGAAGCTTACCCTTACAGAACTTAAATTCTTATCGCCTTTTCGGTGAAAACTATCAGTATTCACCTTGAGATGTTGATCTCGTGGTCAACTGTACCCTTGCCATATCGAACCTATACTACCTCTTGCTCTCGTAAGATTATTAACCAAGACTTTCGGGTGGATTTGTGAAGGTGTATGGGCTTGCTATTTTCGTATAGGTTTTAGCTGGTAGCTATGTATTTAGTTGTAAGCTTATTTCGAGGTTCTTCAATGAACATTTGAACCGGGAAATGAGAAATAACCATGAATCAGTTATTATTGCCAGGATAGTATTCTAGTGCAAAATAACGGTTTTGTATTAAAACTTAAAGAGTTTAATTTTAACGAGTGCACTTCAACAAAGAGAAGTCAATGGTGCACTGTATTACACAAATTTTTAATTTTTTTAATATTTTGATTCTGTTTATATTTTTCTTCTCTTTCTCCATGTCAATAATAGTGAAGAAAATCTTATTTTTTGTAAATCATCTTGCTCCTGTTCTCCTTAACAGGCTTTAGGTTCACAATATTTGCAGGATGAGAAACATGACGAATATACTTTAGCTTTCCTAAAGAAAGCAAGTGAGCAGGTAGTACACATCTTTGTGAGTACCGACGGGGCTGACTTTCGGCCACTTGCTGTGCTAGTGAATTCCACCATCTCCAATGCTGTGTGAGTTCTCACATATTTTGCTTATGCATGTGATAAATAAACTTTTGTTGCTTGTGGCTGTGATAACATGGAAAAGCAGCAATTTTTTAAAGTATGTATGGACATGATCCCTTTGACAATCATTTTGTGCGTATGTGTGTGTGTGTGTGTGTGTGTTTTATTTTTAAAGTGATGTGGAAAACTGACCAGAATGTCGTTTGTTGAAAACAGACATCCAGAACGCCTTCACTTTCATCTAGTTCTGCCCGCAAGCCATCACTCAAGAGCAAAGCATTTGGCCGCTTTCTTCCAAGATACTAAGATTGACATAGTGAGGTATTGAATTTGAAGCTCTTATCGTCGAGGAGGCTCCATTTTTGGTAGCAATTGTTTCTTCTTTGGAATTTAAACGCCAGTTCTGTGTTTGAAAGTAGGTAATTGGTTACTTGTACTTTTCTTATAGATGTATCATTGAAAGTGCTATATGCCTGTTTTTATAGTGAAAATATCGACTTTAAAGACATGGAGAAACATATTACGTTTCGGAAGAATAGCAAGGCTAGACCGGAGCTACAGAGCGTGTACAACTTCGCCCCTTTCTTACTGCCCCTTCATTTCAAAGATGTTGGTAGATTTATCTACCTCGATGCTGACATAGTGGTGAAGGTATCCGCGAAATTTTCCAACTTCTTGATGCATTTGACTGTCTTTCAATGCTATTAGCCAAAGTATGTACACACACACACACACACACATGCATACATATATACATATGTATATACATAAACGTGGGAATTAGCAGATGAGTTAATAGCTAATGCATCATAGTCTAGATTGCTACAGATACATTTCTTGTACGGTTACACTACGAATCGTAATTGGAAAGAGAAGTAAAGATTGTAAAATACTTGGGATCCTGAATGATATTATCGGGCCCACTGCTTAACTCATTGTCATATCACTATGTAATGAAAGTTTCATTTAACACTCCTCTGAATCACGATGTTTACTCTCCAGGGTAATATTGAGGAGCTAATCCAGATTGATCTCGGAAATAGGGCAGCTGCTGCAGTAGAAGACTGTTCTCAAACGTTTGAGACTTACTTTGATTTTAACGAGCTGGCAAAGATCCAGGCTCGACCTGAGAAGCCTACCTGGGTTCCAACCGAGCCGATCAAACCCGACGCTTGTGTGTTCAACAGAGGCGTGCTTGTGATTGATACCAACCAGTGGATTAAACAGCAGGTTACAGAAGCTATTCTGTGGTGGATGGACGAGTTTCAAAGCGCCGAATCAGTACTCTATAAGTATGGTTTCATCTGAAACCCTGCATTTTTTTTAATTGAAGTCAGAATGTATAAAAATCTGAAAGGACTCGGTCGCATGGATTTTTTTTCCTTGGTTTAATAACTTTCGTAACGGATCCTTCGAATTTCATCCTAGAAAGAGTGCTTTGAAAGAATACATCTCAGGCCCTGTACTCATGTATCTCTTAGTTGTTTTTGTTGTCACAGGTACGGGCTTTCGCAACCTCCTTTCTTACTGGCACTCTATGGGAAATACATGAAACTAGACACGCCATGGAATGTCCGTGGGCTTGGACGCAACGAGTTTAGTGAGCGTGAGCGAGAATTTTTAGAAAGTAAGTATGGTCACAAGCCAGAACGGAAGCCTTTCATCTCGCTGGATGCGGATACTGCAAAGATCCTGCATTTCAATGGCAAGTTTAAGCCGTGGAAACAGACCCGGCCAGTTGGTCCATCCTCCAACGTCGTTTCACGTTGTGGATCTAAAGGGATTGAGTGTGCTAAGCTCTGGTGGGAGTATCTCAGCCCTGTTGCTGATGGCATTCTGCGACATGATGATGCACTGTGATCTGGTACCTCTTCATGGCACTTGTACCACTAGACTTGCCTAGGAATGTTGATTAATTCTGCACTGATTATTTTTTTAGAAAAAACCTTTGCATCTAGAAAGTAATTTAGGCAACCCTGAATTCATCCATAGTGAAATTGTCTGCTTTAGCCAATACCGTAGGCATTGTTCACAACACCTTTTGTCAGAGAAATATCATCTTTATGAAAGAGGGGTTGGTGAAGAGCTTTTTTATTGAACAGGAAGAAAGATCGTGAAGATTATCGAACTAGGGTAGAAATGTACACGCAATAGCTTTGATTATGCTTACTGCAGCTGCTGTATTAGGTGAGCTGCAACAAGATACATAAAATGTAAGGAATATTGGTTGCAATCTGTCTGTGTGTCTATCTGCACGGAAGTGATCGTTTCGGATCTTTTCTTCTCAAAATGTTGAAGTTGACGAGTAGATGATTTGCTAAGCAGATCCGCGAACGGTGGTGAAGTCACTGGTGAATAAAATTGAAAACCACCAATTACCTACTTATAAGGAATGAAAATAATAGAAATACTAAAATGGATCCAACAATCCTCAGGCGTGAACTATATCCCTATATTCCTAATAATAGCAAATCTACCTCTCATTTTTGTGATAATAGCAAATTTATGATAAAGTATGACCACTCTTCTTTTTTTAGGTGCATCTGATGCCCAAACTTCATGCCAGCATTGGCTCTGCTCTATTCAGCACATCTCTCAGTATCTCAATATCATTCAAATCGTTCAATTTCATCGTTTATATCTGTTGAGTACAAGCAATCTTTCTAACTTTTATAACAACATGAAGAGTGAAGTTAGAGGTTGCAAATTACTCTTGGCTGCAATGAATCACCAGTGTGTTTCTACTCTTAGGGATTTATTTCTGTCAACTGAACAAAAATCTAGTTCCATTTTCTTTAAATTTAATAACACTAGTTTTTCAATGATTGATCATCATAATATATTCTAACAGAAGTAAAAAAATGACTTTTTAATCAACCTATTTGTTGACGAATCTACAATTTTTGCGGATTTCGCCTCGGTTACCCTCAAGGACTCTGATGTTGCCCATCTTAACCATGGCCTTAGTGAAGGCTGCTAAGAAGGTCGATGAGTGTTGAAAAGTCATGGTTGGTGCAGAAACGATCATAATTTGCAGAAGTAATACAAATTTGATCGATTGCATAGTACTTCACATGACATCTTTTGGAGGGAGTTCAAGGTTAAGTCTTTTAATATTATAATGTATCAAGTAATGTGTAATGGCATTACAATAGTATGTAATGACATTAATGACATAATTTGTGTTAATTTTAATTTGTATCAATTATAACATTCAATTTACTGTTCTTATTTGACATGTTTCAATGAAAATGTTGCAAATTGGTTTCACATTTGCTATTCTAGCCATTTATATTTTTGAAATTACTGATGCTAATATACACACGAAGGTTTTTCTTGAATTACTTACGCACCCTTTGAATTACACTGTTCGAAAGTTTGATGGATGCTGCAGCTAAGAGAGATTCCCAGCAGTCCTTCAGCTGACATCAATTCGCCGCATTTTGAACGAATCATCGCTGCAGAGTCATCCCGTTGCAAATGTGCCGTAGCTGAATCAAAACTACTGTCGGCAATGTCTGATCGGAATCCGTAGATGTCGCTATATGAACGTAATGACTGGCTAGTAATTTTAGAATATAATAGCGTATCTTCGAAACTATTGGATTGCATCGTGACAAAGGCAATAAAACACTTCCATAGAAAAAGAGTATCGATTGATTAGTGCCGCAGAGTTTGCATTATGTTAGCTCGACTAAGTCTACCAAGAGACCTAAAAAAATGAAGTTGTAGATCACACAGCCATTTAAGAGATCGATTAGGTGCGAATCTCGAGACGTGCCTAAGTTCATAAAATTGCTCCCACTCAAAATGGAGAACAATGTAGCTTCATCCGCCACAATATTACTCCAATCATGATAATTTTCATTGAACGAACTCCTAACTTATAAAATATGCTTCTACACAAAATCTGGCCTCAGTTTCCATCAGATTCAACAGAGATGATTTCTACGGTATCTTCCATCATATGCCGTCTTTGCAACCACGTGCGAGTAAGAGAAAAAAAAAATACCAATGTTTAAATTTTCTTGTCATCAGTTCAGCTCTGTAACATGATGAGAAGCTGCACCGAATCCTTCACCCCTTGAACGTGCAGAAGTCACTGGACATTTATTGCATACCACTCCAGTACCTAAAAGCACAACACTACAATCACAAGCATGCCGACCAAAATGAACCATAAGTAACGATTTAACTCTATTTCGGAGTTTACAAATCCAAGGAATTTCACGACATGTTGACGCCACAATGGAATTACGACAGCCACAACGACCACCTCCACTTGCACCAAAACCCCCACACGCCAGTTACAGAGCAAACGCCTCCTCAACTACAAAACCCTAAGTCCGCAAAAGCCAAAGACCCTGCGCTGGCTACTCCTTCATAGTCCGAAAAGGAAAATAGTACATGTATAGAGAGAAGGGTTTGCATTCAACAGCAGCGTCCCGCCATAGCCAGTCGATTTGAAGCTCAAGTAACAACCTGGAAAAACATTGTTAAAAAAATAAAAATAAAAAATAGGCCGCTCATCCCATTTACACCACGTCCGAAAGCAAACCTCCATTGTCCACGTAGGAGTAATGTTCCACATTAGACCAACCGCATATCGACATGTGTAGTTTGGCTTTTGTGAAGGGTATATTGTGGAGGTGCTGACCGAGGGCTCCGACAGGTTGAAAGGGAGCGGGGGAATGGGGGTCACCGGAAGCGCCGGCGGGGGGGGGGGGGGGTGGGGGTTGAAGGGCAGCCAACAGCGTTCTAGAATGATCTGGAGCCTGCTCTATCCGAGTGCCACTTTCGCTGCCCCTCTTTCGCATCCAGTGGTTGCGAATCCATTTATCTTCATCTCTTGTTGCGCCAGCAATTGATTCTGCCCTGTGACTGGGTTTTTGAGGAGTTGTTGAGGTTGGTCTTGGGCTCTCTTACTTCACTCGCGCCTCGTTGTGCTTTCATTTCGTTCCGGAACCCGTTCTTTGTTGGTGTTGTTCGAGCAGTGTTTGTTGGAGTAGTTGTGGATGTCACGGTTGTCCAGGCATTGATCTTGTGACTTTTTTGTGATTGTTGTGTTCTGTTGAAATATTTTTCATGAGATCGGCTTGAGGTTGATGTTAAATTGGCCTTCGTTTCGGAGTTGAAGTGGCTTTGCTGCGATTTAGTACAATTTTAGGTGAATAATGTGAGGCTTCTCGGGGCTGGTGAGGCTAAGGGCTTTACTTTCGTGTATATAGAAGTGGTTTGAACAGTGACGGGAGTGTCTCTTTGAGTCGTTTCATTTGTATGAGTGTGACGGATTATGGGTTTGACCTAATCCTGTGATTTCCGGTTTTGTAACGCTTTGTCTTTGGTTTGTAGACTCAAAGCTTGACTGTGGAAGATGAAGTAATCAGTGGATAAGGTTTTTATGTATTAGGGGAGTTTTTAGCTCTTCCTTCATGTTAACATTAAACTAAGTATTATTTGAAAATCCTTACTTTCATTATGATGGCGTTTCGTAGTCGTCGTAGTAAAGTGTGCAGATTTGAGTTTGTACCAAGTTGGGAATTATGGATTCCTTGAGTGCGAATCATGGTAATTTCTCTTCTTTTTATATTATACTCAATGTGCGTGGAGCCTGCGCTTTGGGAGTTTTTAAGATGTAAAAAATAGTATAACAGACGCCATATACTAATTGGTTCATGTTTGCAGGGTCTACAGCTGCTTACAGCAATTGGTGCCGTTTACTTCAAAGTAGCTTAATTGTTGTCAAGTTCTCTCACATTCGTCTGCGCAAATTTTAGTTCCAGCATGGCCAAGTTTGGAGAAGGGGACAAAAGATGGATTGTTGAAGATCGACCAGATGGTACAAATGTGCACAATTGGCACTGGAATGAAAAAGATTGTTTACCCTGGTCTAAGAAAAGACTTGGTGAGCTGCTAGAGAATATTACCATTCTTGAAGGAGAGGGCGGTTTATGGGTTCAAACTACAGACGTTGAAAGTGTCACCGGGGATGCCTACGTAAACATCAGGTCGGAACCATTGAGTTTTAATTTTTTGTTTTTTTAGGCACACTGCTTAAGACCAGACAGTCTTATGAGCTAGTGGCCACTCTCCTTGAGTAGATCGTCTGTAATTATTTTGACGTTACAATGTTTCCTCCTTGAGAATGAGAAGTGTTATTCTATCTTCCTCCTATTTCTCTCCAAGTTCAAGTTGAAGTATAGTCCTCCGTTGAAAATTATTTTTATATCCACAATTACTTCGTTGTGATGAGCTCAACCAAGCTCGAAGGTATCGATTTTGTTGCAATTGTTGTACCCTTCTCACCCGTGCAGTAATTATTCTATCCGGGTTCGTTGTAGGGTGTTATCTAAAGCATTAATCAATGGTATTATCCTATCGAGGTTCTATCCATTGCTAATAGTACGTCAATTTTGCAGAAAAGGAAAGATCATTCCTGGTTATGAAATTGCTATACGAGCTGCTTGGAAGGGGGAAGCCAAAGATGGTAACGGAAACTCTTTGGCGAAAGTCTCGGGCATCTTCGAGTTTCCGTATGTTGCAGATGAGAATGCAGACGAAGATCCTGAGATAAAAGTGCAAGTGAAGGACGAATCGCCTGTAGGACAGCGACTCCGTGAAGCCTTTCTCGCCAAAGGGAAGCCTGTTGTTCTGAAGAAGCTAGCTCAGTTTGTGAAGGAGTTCGCTGCCGGAGGACCTGCGAAGGACGAGTTGGAAGCTAAAGCGCCAGCTAAAGCATCTGAGAAGAGTGAGAAGCCCAAGTCAACAGCGGTTCCTGCAACCAAAGAGGTGCCCACAACTGCTGTCCGTGCTCCGCAGCCCAAGGTTAAGGAGGGCTTCAAAACCATTAGGTTGACAGAGAAATTCCAGTGCCGACCACACAACCTTTACGAAATTTTGATGAACGATAGAAGCTGGAAGGCATTCACGTCAAGTAATGCACAAATCAGCAAGGAAGTGGGAGGAATGTTTACCATTTTTGATGGAGCCGTGACAGGAGTCAACGTGAAATTGGAAGAGAATAAGCTTATTGTTCAGAAGTGGAGATTTAACAGTTGGGCTGATGGTCACTATTCGAACGTAAGTCGTTCGCTCCTTAGGTATTATGTGATGCTCCCGGCAGCACGTACAATAATTTGCCACTAGCAAATTTCATCTCGAAAATGTAATATCTAAATGAGTCATATGATGGTTGAGTCTGCTGATGGTAGCTTTATGAAGTATTGGTAACTTGTGTGGGAAGTAATTTTGATCTGTATTCACATGTTCAGGTGATCCTGTCTTTTGAGGAGCCGGAAGTTGGCTTGACTGTGGTGAAACTGACTCAGACGAACGTTCCAGACGAGGACAGGTACACAATTAAAAATATTTCTTTTACTGAAAATATGGTTTGTGTATTTAGATATTTCTTTATAATTTCGCTTCTTCCGCGGCGGTCAGGTTTTTTTCCATTAAATGCAGATAGAATATTTTACAACTGCCCTTTCTAGCGTATTCTTTTAAAACTATCTAATTCAGAAAGAGATGCTGAAAGGATATCAGTGACCATTTCTTAGGGCTGAATCGTGTCTCTTGGACTCACAGATACGGCAATGCAACAGTTGTGGAAAATACGGAGAGGGGCTGGAAAGATCTGATCTTCCACAAAATTCGAGCCGTATTTGGTTATGGGCTATGATTCGTTTGTGGTCTTCTTAAAGCTTTGCAGAAACCCTTCATCAGCTATTTCATTGCAGTTGGTTAATGGAGCAATTTATTATCGTCATTGAAGCACAGCTTAGCTGTATATCTGTTTTGCTTCAGAGGAATTAAAAATTTTGTAACATTTCACAGCGACTTCTCTCAGTATACAGAGGCTCTGATGCCTCTCAGGTTCTTCAATTCTCTTTCATTTCGTGTTTGTACTAAGAGCAATATCTACATGTTTTTCCTTGGGTTATAAATACTTCGTCAGTACTTAAATGATTTATCTTGAAGAATCAAGAAGCTGTCAGCGTCATTCGGCTGAATCTATAGTTGCTGTGAAATTTTCATCAGTTTGACAGAATGCCGCTGAGTGAACTAATGTTGAACTTCCATCGACATAAGGATCCATTATTTTTCGTTTTGGACGGTAACTTGTCTGAAACAACCAACTGTATTACCATTTAGTCTGATCTGCAACTAGTATGTTTTTTTCTTTTTTTTCAGAAGGTAATGTACAGTGTAACCAACAGTCAGCTGCAGACCATTGTGCAGCTTGTTGCTCATGTCTTCTGCACTGGCACACTTGACCTTGTTATTTGAGATACACTTTCTAAAATTTCAAACCTCACTGTTCCATGCGGCTTTAAGTGAACTCACTGTGGCACACTGCCTGTCACATTGAAGGTTGTTTGCACGATGCGCGAAAGGTATCAACCATTGTTGCTTTTCTGAGTATTAGTGATACAATTATTGGGGGAATGCCTAAACCAACATTGTCAGTTTGCCCATCTTCGTCTATCAAAATGTAGTTGTTACATGCACAAAATAAAAAGAAGTTTCAGCTTGTGCTAACATTATAAAGCATGGGTAAATGCAAGTGTAGATGTTTCGCAGTTTAGTAGTTCAAATATCACAGATATGTTCGCCTTATAAATAATTTGTGACCATCAGTTGAATTTCTTCCACGCCACCATACACTAAAAACCAAGTACATTAGCGGCTACAGTAGCAATCGTGAAAAGTATTTAAGGTTAATTCCACCATTATCTGCAGTATGCGAAGATATCAGCTAAGTTCATATTTTTAGTTTTTCCGGTTATATCCAACTGGAATTTTTCTCATAGTCAACCACTTCACCGACTCACATTGCTGCGACTCGCAGGACGAGTTGCAAACATCACCTCTAAGACGGCGTGAAAAAGACTGGACCCCTAATTTTGATTTTCTGCCAAGACAGTAAGCACGCTTGATACAGCAATCGAGCTTGTACATAAAGCACAAAATCACCTGAGAAAATTCCTTACTCCTCCAAGCCTGGACATTGATGCAAGGCTTGACTGCACAAAACTTGGCTGATGATCTTTACAAATCTCAAATTGAACCTACAACAACAAAAGCCGGACAACAGAAGAGGGAAAATTTCTAGACGGCCGTCAAAAGATGGACAAAACTTCCAGCCTCGCTGGAACTTCCCACTCCTCAACAGAAACCTTAAAACTGCAGTTTAAGCTGTCCGGAGACCCTATAAGTTCTTCATTTAGGGACACTCAGCTAAGTAATTATGAGTTCATCTCTTGGAAAGACTTCATGAGTGCAACAAGCTTTTCTACCCCCGCCCTAGGCATGGCATTGTAGATCGAGGCTCGCACACCTCCCACAGAACGATGACCCTTAAGTTGCACCATTCCCTGCGCAGCTGCCTCCTTGAGAAAAGCAGCTTCTAATTCGGGAGTCCCCATTGTGAACGGCACGTTCATACATGACCGGACAGACTTCTCAACTGGGCACTTGTAAAATCCATTGCTCGAATCAATAGCATCGTACAGGATCTGAGCTTTCTCAATGTTACTTTTCTCCACTGCTTCAAGTCCACCTTGCGCCAAAAGGTCTTCGAATACTAGTCCACAGACGTAGATAGTAAAGCAAGGGGGGGTGTTATAGAGTGAGTCGTTGTCTGCGTGCGTCTTGAAGTCCAGCATGACTGGGGTTTGGGCCTGAGCTTTTCCGAGCAGATCTTTGCGAACGATCGCAATTGCCACACCAGCGGGGCCAATATTTTTCTGCACTCCACCATAGATCACTCCAAACTTCGACACATCGATAGGCTTAGAGCAGAAGTTGGACGATACATCCGCGACCAACACGGTATCACCATCTACTTTGGGGTAGTCCTTAAATTCCACTCCCTGAATAGTCTCGTTCGCACAGATATGCACGTACTTAGCTCCTGGAGTAAGCTTGTACTCCGAGGCTGATGGCAACCTCGTGTACTTCTCTGATTTCCCAGACCAGACAAGGTTGGACTTGCAGTACTTTTTGGCCTCCTTGTAGGCCTTGTCACTCCATGAACCTGCAACATACAGATAGTTAATCACGACAGACGCTGAATGTGTGCAAATCTTGAAAATGAAGGGGTCGTGAAATATGACTTCCATTACAAGAGTAAGTAAATCCACAACTTCAGGGTTCATTCTCAAGTAATTCTAAGTTGCAGACAGACGTAAATTTCCACAAGCATCAGGGATTCGGAAATAGCAAGAACATTGATGCAAAAGGTCAATGCACATCTACGATACTTCCATTTCATTAGCGTGAAATCAGGAGGAATGCGTGTTCACTGAGAAATGATACAGAAGAACTCTAGAATACGCTAATCAAGATATGGGGCAGGGGAAAGGGGAAACTGCAGAAAGTTTTGTGAAAACAGAAGAAGAGGTGAATGGAAAAAGAGATCTCATACACATGCACACAAGGAAAACGGTACCTGTCACAATATAGTCAGCAACGTCATCTGGGCCACAGAGGTTCAGGGGGATGGCTGAGAACTGGGTGGAAGCGCCCCCTTGCAAGAATAAAACCGCATAATTATCTGGCACCTTCAGAAGTTCGCGAAAGTCCTTCTCGGCTTTCTGGATGATGGCAGTGAACTCCTTACCACGGTGAGACATCTCCATGACACTCATCCCGCTGCCACGCCAGTTGAAAAGCTCATCTTGAGCCTGCTTCACAACCTTCGCTGGCAACGTCGCCGGGCCAGCAGCAAAGTTGAACACACGACCATCGGCTTCAATATTCGCCAGAGAACTATCCGCTCCCTTCTGCTCAGCAATGGACGGAGCAGCAGTGCATTTGGTAACTAGCCGGGGAAACGCTTGTGCTACCTTCACTCCACTTGGAAAGGCTTTGGCATTGAAAGATGCCGCGCCCTTGAAGCTGGAGCTCAGATCTCCCACAGCTCGCACCACGGACGGATTCCTTGCGACCATTCCCTGTTGCCCGGCCATCACTGCCTCCATGTTGAAGCCTAGATCCCCGACCACCAAAACCCTTGCTCTCTACTTCAACACCGCGGAACTAAGGCAACTCTCGATCTGAACACGAGATAACAGGATCACAAGAAGCGCCAGAGAGCACAGCAACTAGAGAATGATCACAACTTGCCGGTCTCGTAAGCGTAGCCTTAAAGATCTCTTGGAACAATCGCAGGGGTCGCAGCGAAGCCTGCAGTCGGTTTGGCAATTGCGGCAGGCGTTGGGTTTAGAGGAGAAAGACGACGGTGCCGTCAACGTAAAAGCAGTTAGCAACTAACAGATATTTCCCTATTCGCACATATCATCCGCACCATGTTCCCAGAAAACATATTTGTTATTATCAGGAATTAAGCATCGACCGTTGATACCCAGCGGAAAATGTCGACTTACTCTCCACTGAAGCTTCAAAGTATGCTGGAAATAGAAATTGTGTGGGATGTGCCACTGTGGCAAGCCTACAAACCCTTATTCAACTTGACTATTGGGGATTGGATGACCCCAAACAATTCTCTCATATCGGAGGACTATTCATGCACATCCCTTTGTCGCTCACTCTGACCTTTCAGTTGGCCGTTTCATAATTGAAGAGCAACTCCATGAAAGATGCTTTTGAGTGCGACGTTTGTGCTTGTCTTTTGATTGATCGATCGCCGTTGGCCTTCGTAACGAAAAGATACTTGCAAATGCTGCTATATGCAGGGGGAGACTACAAGGCAACACCGCAGTAACCATCAGTCCGTCACACGCAAAGATCACGACAACCACTAACCGTAGTTGCGGATCTTGAAATTTGAGTGCTGAACCAGCTGGGACAAGAGCTACGGAGAATCGATTGAGTGCCCAGAAGTGGATGAAAGTGTCCGCACGTCATTCCAATCTGCAAGTGCCCCGTGTATTCCGTTTTGAGTGAATCTGACCCTAAATATGACTTGCAACTATGCGCTTTGAGAGAGGGTCGGAGCGCATTTCTCTCATGTCGTATCATGCACAGTAAGCTGGGGGGTCAAATTGCTCCAATACATTGCATGGTACAATCTGAAAATTGGGAGGTTGACGGAGGATAAATAACAGTAATTGTAGTTTATAAGCGGGCATGTATAGTAGAAGTATTACTAAGGGGAACTTGCGTTAAATAAGCTACTTTAACGACCGGGCATGACGAAGAATCAACACGTCTTAAACTCCGTCGTCGGAGGGTACAAGTTACCCACTGATAATCAGGCTGGGAGGATGACAGGCACAAATCACTGCTGACAGATCCTAAAGTACATTTTATCACTAGTTTAGCCTTAACAGCTTTCAATTAACACCTAGAAGCACTTCAACCAATACCAATGCGATAGAGTAAAAATTTACCTCGTCGCAGTAAATTCCTCACAAAAAGGATATCCTCATACAGGGTCCAGTTATAACATGTGTATGCATAAGAGAGCGAGATATTACTTCTTTAGAACGACTTCAATATAGATGCTTGTATTCAAGACAACACGGAACTTTCATATCAATTGGGTTACAGTCCATCCGCAACTAAATTTAAGCAGAAATCTCAACCTCGCCGTCGTCGATTTCTGTCTGCAAGTCCTTAGGATCCTTCTGGTCTACTGTGCAACCTACAGAAACGCAAGTACCCAAGATTTCCTTAACAGTTCCAGCCAATTCTTTGGCCATGGATCTTGGGGCCATGATCTTGGCGATTTCGATCACGTCGTCAAGAGAAATGTTGCCATTGTGCTTGATGTTCTTGACCTTCTTCCTGTCCCGCTCAGGCTCCTTCAGAGCCTTGATCACAAGGGCAGCAGCACTGGGAACGACTGCAACCTTGGCCTGCATGAAGTTTCAGATGATGATGTAAGTGCACATGATCAATACGGCCAGGTCAACAAGGTTATACTTAGACAAAAGCTCCACTATAATAAAAAGCTAGGTGCTTATGAAGTACTTCATACAAATACTGTACCTGACGATTCTGCACAGTGAGCTTGACTGTCACTCGCAGACCCTTCCAGTCTCTAGCGGTCTCCTTGGCAATATCCTCACCGACCTTCTTGGGTGACAAACCCAAAGGACCGATCTTGGGCGCAAGCGATGACGCAGCACCAACCTCTCCACCTGAATTGTGTCATTTCACAAGGGTATAAATTAAAATAATGCCAAGGTAAATAAAATGAGGTAGCACATTCAACATCTTTAACAAAAGAAATCGTGTACCAGTATCAAAATGAGTCTGGAGAGGATCAATTAGTACCGAGCCAAGAAATTCCCGATACGAACAAACTGAAGCGGAACAAAGCACGAGAGACGAGCAGACCAAGACATCAAACAATCAGTTACAATGTAAACAAGATTTAAAGCAACGAATGTAACATGTGGATGCTCAGGGAATACAAACTGTAATAAACGCTCAGCCAGAGCCCAGGGCTTCTGTCACGCGCATTATATCATCGTCCTTGCGTCCACAGACGGGCGTGGGAGTCGCTCACAAAACCGATGGGATGCTCAGGGAATACAAACTGAAATACATGATCTCTCAGAGCCAAAAGGCTACCGTCACGTACGTGGTATTTTCATCTTAGCGTCCACGTGCAAGTAAAAAAAAGTTACAATACTAAAAGACTCTGAAGTAGAACGAATCCACAACAGGCAGAGGACAAGAATGTTACTCGAAATGTGACGAGTAAATATTCATTGAACTTATCAAAGAACCTGAGAAATGAAAGTCCCCACACGACATCAAATTTAACTTTCATCAGTGTGACTTAACAGACTTTATTCAAATTGCACAATCAACCATATAGTCATGCAAGCAACTCGCTTACGCTTGACATACTGAGCGAGTTTACGAGTGCATTAATGTGAAAAAAATTATGTTGCCACGTAAGCATTTTGAAGGGCCCTTTAAATAAGCCCTCACCATCGCTTAGTAAGACAATGACAAGCATATGCGCAGACCCGCGACATCCATGACATCACTGAGTGACTTCCACAGAAAAGACAACGCCTCATCGCAAAATACTTCAGACACACTGAACGCAGAAGAAATTGGCGCATCGAATTTGCGAGGCCCTTCAATCATCCTCATAATTTCTGAACACAAACTGACTCTCTACTTCCGATCCATGATAATAGACATGGGTCAATCTTATATAATGCTTCAACACCTAAACCCGCATCAATGACCATGAAGCTAACACAAGAGAGCCAAACCTAAAAAGTAATAAGAAGACTTCGAAGTTGAATACGAAATCATCGAAGACAACAAACAATAACAAACAAACGAAAATCTTCAGATAACAAACAAATAGAGAAAAATCTTGGGCAATGAGATTGAAAAACACATAGTGAAAAGAACCCGACACCACCACTCATTCACTCAAATCCAATAACGGTCTGCTTGAGAGGCTAGAACCTTCGGAATACGACGTTTGCAGCGGAATAGCATTGACTTACCCGTAACACGAACATAGACCTCGACAATCTGCGAGGGGTCCAATTTGGGCGGCATGGTGGCGAGGTAGTGAGCAACGTAGAGCAGACGGCAGTGTGAGAAGCAGCAAACACACTGCGAAAGAGGAACAGACCATCTCTGGGCCCTCATTTAGGGTTTTTTCCAAACCCTAAACATCACAATACCCTGGATGAGATCCCGCGATATCCGTCGATTGACCCCTCGCCCTCGCCCAATACCCGCTTCCATGTTGATCGATTGCTGTTTCGGCGACTCAAAAATTAAAATGGCACCATAGTTCGAGATGCAAGAAATCGAGTTCCAGAAATCAAGCAGAACACACAATCAGCTAAACGTTCTGTGCCGAGAAGACGATGTTGATTTTCTAATAGTCTCTTCACGAATTTTCGCGGCCGAATCGGAGGTATTCATAAGGTTCTGATGCAGTTCATGAGGATTATCGATTCTTTCCGTGATCGTTGAATGTTACTTGAGTCATTAGACCAGTCTGTTTCACGATGTAATGATGTTCCTTATTGTTCAGTCTCCAACATTCCTTCGTGCCTGAATTAGGTTTTCCAGGTTTCAGAATATTATGAACAATGGGAGCACTTAAGAGAGTTCTAGAGGGAAATGCCGATGCGGTTGAGTTTTGCCCCACGCCAGCATATTACAATCTGTTGGCAGCTGCTTCGTATATCCTCATAGAAGGGCCAACTCCGACTCGTGTCGGTGGTCTCTACCTGTTTACTCTTGGTGATGATGGCTACAATCTACAAGAGCTGCAGACAATCGAAACTTCAGGCATTTTTGACATAAAATGGAGGAAACCAGGCCCGGGCCTTGTGCCCTGTTTAGGTCAGGCAAGTGCGGATGGAACTTTACGCCTTTACACTCTACTGGATGGTAAGAACTCATGATTTGCCTATTGTTGTTCGTACCCTTAATTCTGGATAGATGCTTGATCTCACAGGGATCGTGTTCAAGATATGGATTCAATGATAAGAAATACGCTGGTGCTGATAGAATGTCCCAACACTTGTAACGGCATTAATCAGCTTTGGTCTGCAGATGATAAGCCTACGCTTCAAGAAACGGCAAATCTTGACATTGACTCTTCAATGTGTCTCTCTCTCGATTGGAGTCCCATGGAGTCGGAGCCTCAGATTGCCGTCAGTCACTCGAATGGAACCCTTACGATAGTAGATGTGGGACAGTCCGAGCCTCAAGTATCCAGCTCTGGTCAGGCGCACGAATTGGAGACATGGATCACCTCATTTGATTCCTGGCACCCGAAGCTGATTTACACTGGTGCAGATGATTGTCAGTTTTGTGGTTGGGACATTCGACAAGGCCTTGACAGTGCTGTATTTCGAAACAAGAAGACGCATAGTATGGGTGTTTGTAGTGTTCAGACGAATCCACAAATTGAACACTCTTTGATAACTGGTAGTTATGATGAAAACTTGCGGTTGTGGGATATGAGAATGAGTGTCCGCCCAGTTATGAAATTGGGAATGGGATTAGGAGGTGGTGTCTGGAGGTTGAAATGGCACCCATTAGACCAAGGACTTATTTTAGCTGCATGTATGCATTATGGATTTGTACTGGTTCGAGTAGATGCGGATGCGATGGATGTAGTTGAAGAGTACAAGGAGCATGAGTCCTTAGCTTATGGCGCGGATTGGTATCAAGGGGCGTGGTCTAAGTCAGGACCTGAGAAGCCGTCGGAGAATACTGGCAAGGAATCTCTTAGGAGTTTAGCTGCAACATGTTCGTTTTATGATAAAGCACTCCATGTATGGGAACCGTCTGTGGTTGCCTTAAATACAAGGGTCTGATCCAGGTTGAGCAATTTTGTGTTTTGTTGCTGTAAAGTTTTCTACTGTGAAGATTCATAAAATTGGTCACCAAGTTATGTGCTGATTGTTCTGTACTGAATTTGGGTACGTAAATTACATGATTTCTTTCGTTAAAGTCCTTGGCCACATCACTTCAGACTCCCATGTAAACAGAAAGGTGACCCAAAGCAACTTCATACCCTGAACTATGAGATTATATTGCAGAATCTAGAGGTGTCGAGATAGTCATTCGTTTCAGGAAACTTCAAGGTTGGAATACATGCCATTGAAGCTCCCAAGCTGAGTCAGAATCCGTCGGCCACTCGGTCTTGGAAACCAGCCAGATTGGTTGACCTAATTTGTGCCAACAATTGCAGCGTAGTCGGACAATTGCACCTCTAACCGTATTCCGGCTGAAAGTTCTGGATTTTAAAGCTATTCGGGAGATATTTTCTGGTCCTGTTAGTATCACCTCCAACCAGGTCACAGCAAGGTCTTGGAATTCAGGTCGTTGGCGGTTTCCAAGAGTAACACTTAAGGGCATTCTTCCTCAATCAACAGTTGAGGAGCACCCCTTCTTGGTTGAAGTGTAGAAGTCATATCTAGGCTAGGTTATACGTTGAGCAGCCAGGGTATTGATTAGGTCTGGCATTTGATGTTCAACTATCACTATCATGTACGAAGGTTTGTACTCGCCACAAACCAACTCAGATGGATGCCACCCACCTCTCATAAGCTCTTTCAATTCTGCAGATTTGTGTCTCATCCTCGCTCACATTAAGCTTGAGCAATTTCTATTTCCTTTAGACCAAAACATGTATGCTTTCAGAACACTTGAGGATCTTGTTGTTTAACTCACACAAGGTTGGGAACAACTTCTGGGATTGGGATAAGCCATATTTTACGGCATTCGTTCAATTGAAGGTTGCGCAAGAAGCCTGAAACAGGGGTCTGACGACTATGTCAGAAGAGGAAACGGAGGAGGAAGGAGGGGTACCACTTGAACCTCCAATTTATTTCCTTGTTAAAAAAGTTTATTCTTCGTCCCATTCTGTGTACGCTCTGCTGTCGTTCAATTTTTATGGACATTGGTAAGAATGTAACGACCAAACCTCAGGTGGAAGACAATCACCAAGGTATGTTTTTTTAAGAATCGGGTTTTAGTTCATGGATTCTGCAACATGAGCTTTGCATCATCGCAAGTAACACAATCTAGTCAAGAAATTTGCCAGTTGAAACCAAATTGGTGTGTTACGGATCCTCTCTGTTTACACATTGTACATAGTTCAGGTAATTGCATGCAACTCCCACGTCGTTCCTCTAATTTCTGTTGGTTCTTCGGGAGGTGGTATATTCTTCTTCCAGGAGTTTTCATGGTCAGGAGAATTGGTAGATGGATGGATGCCATATGGCCCTGGAAAAGCCACATATTCTAATGGAGACAGTTTTGAAGGATCTTATGATGATATGAAACGGAATGGCATAGGCAAGTATATATATGCTAATGGAGCGGAATACGAGGGAAGTTACTCTCAAAATCAGAAGACGGGTTATGGTGTCATGAAGTATCCTGATCAAAGCGTCTACGAAGGCATGCTTCAAAACATTCTGCCCTATGCAAATGTGACGTTAGCTTCCGAATTGATCCTTGCCGCTGTTATAAGAAACTAAAGGGTTTTGTACGTGCAGGTGCCTGGTTCAGGGATTTGAAACACGGAGAAGGGAAATACATCTACCCGAACCAGGATATATACAAAGGAGAGTGGAAGAATAACATCCGGCATGGTACTGGGACTTACTTCTTTGCAATGAGCATGAGTCAAGTATGCCCTCCTCCTGATGATTTAATTGTCTGTTAGAACAGCTTCTTAACAGTAGAGCATCTATTGCTGATTTCTGCACAGGTTGATGAAAGATTTGGTATAGAATTCTTCGGTTTGTGTTCAACAAATTCTGATGGCATATCAAACTAGCGAAATATTTCAACCCTAGAACGTCAAACCCTGGACTTTCAAATTACTTTTTTATCACTCTAGTCGCTGCAGATGTTAGAGTTGACATGCATGTGCTTTGAGAAACTGGAGCGAGATTACTGTTCTCCCGTAAAGAATACGAGTATAAATTTACTCATTTTGAGAGAAGGATTGTCTCCTACTTAGAAGCTTGCCGTCTCATGGGTTTTGATATTTTAACTTGCAATTTTACACGACTTGGAGAGTCCTGACATAGTTTCAATACACTCTCGCTTCACAACACATTTGTCTGTAATCTATCCACCATTATAATTCTGCGAAAAAAAACCTTCACTGAGCACCTCACTCGTTAACAGTGTTTGTTGATTCGTGTGAATGAACACATGCATGTGAATTCAACTAAAAAACCCACTGTCGGATTCTTGTGCAGTTCATTGGTACGTGGCTTGATGGGAAATTCATAGCTGGGCAATGGGTCTTCCGAAATGGTGACGTTTACGAAGGGAGTTTCAGGAAGAACAAGCCAGAGGGTGAGGGCAAGTTCATGTTCGCTGCAAACAAGACTACAATTTACGGCAAATTTGCTGATACAAAATGGACATCAGGAGGGTGGATCCGCACTCCCGAATCCATTCTTGAGTCCAAGGAAGCTGTGTGTGAATTACCACCGCCCCAAGCCTTCAAGCCCGTCATGAACCGTTCCAGCCAGCCTTCTTTTGTGACTTCAATGGAGTTCACGTAGCACCGGACGTGGAAGTAAGGGAGTTCGCTTCATGCATTTCCGCAAAATAGGAAGCAGTTCAATGAATCAGTTATTAAAATCAGCAACATTTCAGTAATTTTTTTGTGAAAAATCTGGCCCAGTGGCAGTACCTTCGTCAGCTTTACCACATATTCAGAAAAATACACCTCACAACAGTCCGTTCATGTAATATCCCGGTGGCCACTTCTCAAAAAGAATGTACAGGACCTTTGGCAAGATCATATGCTTTGATTCGCCTCCTTCTCTCCTACACATGAAGTATTCCAGCCCTCGATACAGAGTAACCATAAATACGCTCTCTTACGGCTACATTTTTATAACTTCGCACTGACAGCATACTCAATAATATGAGCGCTAACTCGGCTGTAGTAGTAAGAACACGATAGTTTCGAAGTGTGACGTTGGCGAGTCAAAAATCCAAACGTCTACTACCCAAATTCTTTTCTAAGTTGCCTCGTCCAAATGGAAGAAATCACAAGCAGGAACCGGAAGTGCCCACAAACAAAGAAATCATTCCAGCACAGATTGCAATTCTAAATAGAAGGAGAATAAGAAGAAACTACATTCAAAGCAATCTATTCAGACAAGTAAGCGCACAGTGAACGGAAATTGCATGTGAATGAAATCCACAGACAGGCAATAAAAAGTAAAAAACAAAATAATAGTCTTAATGTTGAATACATTTGAATTGCCACCCTTGAACCTTGTAAATATGGCTAGGAGGTGGGGCTTGACAAGATCTTCACGAGTAGCTCAGCTAATTCATTGAAACAACCCGCGCACATGTCAATAAAATAATTGTGAGAGAACGCTGTTCAGTACATTCTATGAGGAACCAAAATTTCCGCTCTCAGGATGCTATGGCTCTCACTAACCAATCTAAACTTGGATATGAAAAATAAACCACCAGGAAGGATGGCACGGCAAACAACACGGTGATTATGCAGTAGATAGCAAGCACCAGAGTGCTGAAAGGTAGTACGTACACTAAGATGAACAGGAACAGCAGGACAAGGGGAACTCTGACCATAAACTGCGAAAAGGACGCCACCAAACGAGTACCAGATCTTCGCCACCCATGCAGTCCCCACCGATTGGTAGCCACAATAACAGGATCCTGCCTGACAATGGCACCTGGCGAGACTACGCCGGATCCTGCACGGCCTGCGTGAGGAGAGCTCAGGGACACGGGACCAAGCCCACACAATGGGGATGGTTCTGTGTCCTCGGCACATACTGAAGACCGGCCATGCTCCCCTTGAAGACTCTCCACCACCCAGAGAAGGAAAAAATTCTTGCAAGGATACCTGAGTTGGCCCTTCCATTTAAATCTGACTGTCAAGAACTGGCACCAAGGACAGCAAATGAAGAGGGGCAGCTGGAGCGGAAGGCCAGAGAGTTTCACCGTAGCCCATTCTAGGTTGAGCACGCAGTTCTTGCACAAGGAATGTCCACACCATAGAACATAAGGCGTATTATCTGTATCATCGAAGCTCTCCCAGCACACCGGGCACTCCAGCCCCTCCTCTAAGCTCCGGCTTGCCGGAGCCACTCCCACCTTCGGACTGGCCGACTTCTTGCCACCATTCTGACACACACAAGCGGGCATAGCCGAGGTCTCACTCTTCAACGTTCGCAACATTTTGCCCCAACCTTCCAATCAAGACACACTAAACCACCAACTACAACTCAAAAGCTTTCCGTCACTCCTACTTACGTGCCATCGCCATGCCAAAGCATTCTAACACGCATCCAACAAAACAGTTACAAAAACCAACGCGAAAGTAACAGCAAAACATCCCTTTGATGCCACACTTCCAGAACCCCCATCCCGATCTCAGGACATAAAACTACGCTCCACTCCGCAACATTAACTAATTCCATGTTGCTTCATGATGTGGAACAAACAGCTTAGGCCAGCACAAATTATGGCAACCGACACACAGGCAAGACCATTTCCACCACAGTGAGTCCTCACCGACTTGGACGACTTACTGTAAATAGAATCTCGGCAACCCTAATGGAGTTCGAGTCCTGGGACGGCAGTAAACCAACTAGATCCCAAGTCATCTCGACCTCACTAGCCAAGATAGAGTCCGGGAAATATCTTAACGAGGTCCGGCACAGGTGTAGTGTCGGTACTACAGTGCGATGATTCGGCTGCCGCACAAGTTTCATTCCATGGATGAATGATATATATACGTGTGATATGGATGGATGATTTTCAGGTGATGGAACATTCGAGAATTAGGCAGATTTGTTTTTCGGAGTTGCTTTCTTGGTTTGGCCCTGAGATTCCCGTTGGGAGAAGGTTTAGTCATGTAATCTCTTGCTTTTTCTTTTACATTTTTCCTTTTTATAGTTTTAGTTGCTGTTAATAATGGTTTTCTTGATGCTTGAAGTAAACTGTTTTATTATCATTTCCTTTAATAGGTTTCATTATTGGAATTTTGATCTCCATTGTCTTCATATTGATTTTAGTAGAATTATAAGTATGTTTTTAAATTGAAGATGTTGTTGTGATGATGGGGAGATATATAAGTAATTTATTTACATTTTGATGCTTTGATATACAGACAATCCTTGTTATAGTCAACTTCATTAAAATCAACTTTGAATTATAATCAACCTATTTTGTGAATGCCAATATATACCATCTATACTATATAGTAAACAATTTCTTTGGTTTTGAAAGATTAATTATAATCATAGTTGTTTATATGTGTGTATATATATATATATATATATATATATATAATAAAACTATGGTAGTATATTTAATTGTTAATCAGTTTGATTTGATAAATCAATAAATTATAAGCATTTTTAATACCATTAAAAAGAGGAAAATTTTCATAAATGCTCTTATAGTTTGTGGAAATATCAAGAATATTCCTATATTATGATAATTACAAAATTATTCTTCACAAAATTAATAATATCTAATATATCTTTGACCATAATAAGCTATAAAATGACATCTATTTTTAATTTGAATTAGGCCCAAAGCATGTGCTGTGCACACTTTGTCACAATAATGTGTTTTTTTTTTTTTTTTTTTTTTTTTGCTTTGGCCCAAATTTCTTGCCAATACATCTATCGTTGTTCATTACTTGCTACTCACCAATTGCACTAAGGCTTAGCCCATCTACAGTTAGGCTATCAAATTGATTTTTCCACTTTCATACTATAGTCCGTTGCATCAACATAAATTGAGCTTATTTTTCTATTTCTTTACATTCAGCAGTGTCTCTTCTTTTTCTTAACATCTTCACTTTTGATGACAAGTTTTTCTCTATATGCAATGGTTGATTCTCTCATTGATTTCTATTTAGCCTATTTATTGCATCCATATTAAATATGACTAGGTATCATGTGCATTACGATACTATTGTTTTATTTCTCACCACTTTGCAATGAAATATATTAATTTGAATTCACCAATAGTAAGTCACCATTCAATTTGAAAGCCATGATTATCAAAATCAAGGTAACAATTGATATCAAAATCTAATATGGATAATAGACTTGAAGATGTCACCTTCTCTAACAATCAATATTTTTTTAGTTCTAGTAATAAATTGAAGGAAGCAATATCTAATAAAATAATTAGCAAGTATTATGAAACGGCTATTATCAAAACCGACCAAACAAGAGACATTATGAAGTGTTGCAATGACAATTACAAATGAAAGCAACATGCATTATGATCTCAATTGACATGTATAAAGAATTTTATTATTCAAAAATTTATCTCTAAATACACATGCATTAGTGTTGAACTTTTGGACAACTACCATGTTAGCATAAGTTGGATAGTGAACAACATGAAGAATAAGTTAGAAGACACACTACAATATAAAGTTGTTGATATTAAAAAAGATATTTGACATAATCAAAGCATCACAGTATCATACTTGATAGTATGGCATTGAAAAGAAAAAGGCTATTTTTAAGCTAATTGGCTCATATAAAGACAATTATATTAATTTGAAAGCATAGCCACCAAATTAAGACAATGAATCTTAGGAATTATTAAGATTAGAAGTTAATAAAGAAAATTTCTTTCTTCAAATGTTTGTTGCCTATAATGCAAGTTTATATGGCTTGCAATATTATCAACTCATTATTAGCATAAATAGCATTTATCTAAAAGAAAAATATTATAGAGTATTCCCTGCTGCCACAACAATTGATGTACAAGAGCAACTATTTCTTATTGCATTTAGTATTTTCAATGCTAATAAATGATGACAATTGGTTGTAGTTCTTGCAAAAGTTAAAGACAACAATTCTTGCATTAAACAATTATTTTGTATGTATTCATCCTTCATTTGATTTTAATATTATTTCATAGTAAAATAAAACTATACTTGATCTGCTACCATATTTAATTTCATCTAATACATATTTATTTTTTAAAACTATTATACATAAATATATATATATATATATATATATACACACACAGATCACATATGATTTTATATTATATTTTTTTATATTTGCAATTAAAAATTAATTCAGTTGAAAATTTGGTAGCATGCAAGACACAAGAAATTCAAAATAAAGATGATACGTGGTTAAACAAATCCTTTTATGCCTTGCATAGTGTATATGTGACTTCTTATTTTACATTACATAAAAGAGTAATTTCAAGAATATACTATAAAAATGTGATCAAGTATTTTTTTTTTTCATGTATATACAAAACTACAATGCTCAATGTTACTTCACAAAACATTACAACAATATTAAGTGAGAGAAGGTAATATGTATGTGAGGGCATGACAACCTATGTGACCGAGTCTCAAACAAATAACAAGGAAAAAACATAATACAAGAGGCATGAAGGCTGGGCAACTATCCTACACTAGGGAGCAACAAGTGGCGAGCAGTAGTAGGTGCAACATTTGCGAGAAATTTGGGCCAAAGCAAGAAAAGAGGCATAGTGCTATGCCAAAGTGTGCGTAATACATGCTTTTGATCCAGTTCAAACCAAAAATGGATTTTGTTTTATAGCTTATCAGGGTCAGGGTTGGATTAAATATTATCACTTTTATGAGGGGCAGTTTTGTAATTATCAAGAATACAAGGATATTCTTGATGTTTCTGCAAACTACAAGGACATTTATAAAATTTTCTATAAATAAATGAATATATCTATATATAGATAAATTATTTAAATTTAAATATAAAAAACTAAGAATTTAAAATATTTTTTGAATGATATAAGATTAAAAAATAAAACAGAATAAAATAGAAATTAATCAATCATGTATGATTAATGTATTAATTTTATATTTATTTTATATATATATATATATATATATATATTTCATTAAAAAAAACTATAAATATTACCTTGATACTAAAGATAGATAAAAAAATATTTGTAAATAAAATAAAAAATTTGCAGAGAATATTAATAATAATAAAACATACATGAATAAATGAATTTTATTAATTTTTAATGCTTCAATGTTAAATTTCAAATTATTTTGTTATGCTTATGAAGCAATATTACTTAAACTAAATATTTTATTAAGATTCTACCAATCCAATTGTAAAATTGATGGTTCTAAAAGATAAAATGATTTGTAACATAGTTAGTAAATTAATGAACTTCTGAATCAAATTTATTATTAAATTTCTATTTTATACCAACCATAAATTGTAATATTACACAATGTAATAAAATATCTAGAGATAGATTAAATGACACATTATTTTAAAATATCTAAAAACTTTTTTATTTTTTTTGTATTTATTTAAAAATAAGGATATTTTTATTTGATAAAGTTTTTATTTAGAGCTTTTTTTAATGATTTATGGTTAATTTCCAAATTGATCAAATATTATATATATTTAAAATAATAATAATAATAATAAGATATATTTTAGGAATAAATTTAAATAAAATAATATATTATATTAATTACACTAAAATCGAAATGATAGCACTAATCCATAGAATTGATAAAAATTCACAAATCAAATTGATTGATAAAAAAATCTATCATATTAGCTTTCTTATCAACTTTAAACAAAATATCATTATATTATTTTAATTTAAGAATTTATTTTTATAATTTAAAAAATTATATATTACATCTTCTTTAAAAATATAAAAATATATATTAGAATTATTTACATGCATAATTGATTATTTTCTAATATATTTTTCAAATACCATTAAGATTAAAGCATACAAGTAATATAAGAACCATCCCTCTAAGATCTTTAAAAATTGGGACATATTGATGAGAAACTTCGTAGAAAAATTTAGACCAAATATAGGACAAAGTAATGCCCTTATATTCCTTTATTCTTTAAAACAAGAAAAAATTGTTATATATATTAGGCAGTTTGAACTAGTAATTACTAAATTTGTAAGAAGCATTTTTACAAATGACACTCTTACCTATTTCTTTATAAAAAGGATGTGATAATAAAAATACTATTATGAAAATCTTAGAAAAGCGACCTAAAAACTGAAAAAATAACAAAAAATAAATAAACAACAACAACAATTGAAAAAATTGATAAAGAATCAAAAAAAAAAATGTAGATGAAGGAAGAGCATTGGATTCCTAGCATTATTGTAATCCTTACCTAAAATATAGAGAGTCCACAAAGACACATATATAAAATTGTTGGCAGCCCTTTTGAAGCAATGGACTACTATTTTTCACCTTTAGAAGTCGAATTTCCACCTAGCCTTTGAGAAATTATTTATTGAGAAGAAAAGAATATGTAGAAGGAGAAAATTAAAAATGAAGTCTTTTAAAGTCAAAAACGGTTTTAGGATCAACTTATACATCAAATCAAGATGATGCCAAAAAAAACAATCTTATTGATAAAAAATCAAAATCCTTATTAAATTTCATCACTTATGGAATCAAATAAATATACTTTAAGATTATAATATATTCATTGTGGCCAATTACATTATACTAGCAAATTTTAGACGACATCACATATAAATTAGCAAAACCTTAAGAGATATTACGGACATCTAATAAAATGATTTTAAAAATATTTTAAAGATATTCTATTAGGTTTCAAAAGGTATCAAATAATTTTTAGAATATTCTAATAGGAACTTCTAAAATATTCTTAGAATATTCAAGAAGGTTCTAAAAAGTATT